CGAGAAGAATTTAAAGAATCTCTTGTGCAAGAAATATGCATAGGTCTTCGTCCGAAATTTGCAAAAGAAACACCAGAAATTTACGCTAATTTGGCTAACCAATGCATGAACGCAGACGCATCAAAACGCCCCTCAGCAAATAATATTATAAAAGTTTTATATATGTTAACAGATGATTACTGTATAAATTTTTTTAAAAAAGCCGATTTAAATATAAAAAAACTTGAACCTGAATCTTCAAAAAATGATGACGCAATTACATCATATAGAACATACAAATTAATACATTCAAATCTTACAAAGCCTATGAACTCTACAGATATTCCGGAATTCAATTTAGATGATTATAAATCTAGAATTTCACAGAAAAGTTGTGTATTATTTGATGAATCAGAAATTATTTGATGAATCAGAAATTATTTGATGAATCAGATTTTCATTTATAATAATTTGCCAATGTCAATATTGAGAAAACCAGACTGCGTTAATTATAATTATTATTATTTGAAAAATAGGTTGTTTTTTTTTTAAAGTAAAAGCTTTTCTTATTTTCCACTACTGTTGGTTAAGAATAAATAGATAAACATATTATAAAACTTTGATTACTAAATAATAATTGCAAACAGAGCTAAATTGAATTGTAAAATTTGAAATAAATGATATCGAATATCAAATATACAAAAATCCACACTTTCCAAATGCAGCTAATATAAATTTAAAATTCGTAGCCTTTTCTATATGGTGTTAATAAAAAATTTTGTCCAGAGTTTGCTATGGTAAATTTTGACTGTAATTAGATTTATAATGAACTGCAATCATTAACCAGCTTGACACAAATAAATAATTCGAGCTAAGCTATAAAAGATTGCAGGATTCTAAAATATACTCACGAGTTAAATAATGGAAAGAGCTAATTTGTCTAAATATAGCTAACTCCTGTTATAGTGAACTTTTGATGTTAGTCTTGCAACGTATGAGGCACTTTTATTTTTTGTCAAAATATGAAAAACAAAAAAGAAAAAGATCATATATAGTTAGCTTTCTATAATGAATTAGAGTATCTGTGTGACGCAGTCGCGCTGCTGGTCCGCGGCAGCTATGGTTAATAATTTAGACGGTGTAAAGGTGAGAAACAGTCCGGAATCACAAAATGTGTGCAATACGGATATCAACTATCACTAAAACTAAACTAACCACTACTGAACTCTATCAACCCTAATGGTGGAAGGCACGATCGAGGCGTGGAAGACTTGGTCCGAGTTATTAGGGTCA